TGATGGTATTTGAGGTAAATGAGGAGGAAAAAAGGCCAAGAATGAGGCTACCAAAGCGCCCGGTTTTCTGGGGCAAAACACAAACTTAGTTCCAGTTTCTTATCGGCGAACATGAAAAGTGTCCGTAAGTGTCACGGTGTCCATCAGACAGTAGCAAATGAACTGTTCCGAAGCACAACTACTTCAATGAGGTCAGAGTGAAAGGACACCTGAGGGGCCTCAAAGAGCCCACCTTTCTGGGTCAATAACACTCTCACTGCGGAGCCCGTGAGGAGCACCACAGAATGGTTCCATGGAGTGTCCTGCAGTGCTGACCATGGATTCACACTCAAGAGACATTCTCGGTGGAAGTCAGCAGGCTACTGTCCGGGTGGTCTTTGCTAGGTGCTTGCCTGAGTTAACTCTGGGGTATATTTGAAAGAATCTGAGGAAGTGATCAAAAGCAAAGCCCTAATATTCCTGTATAAATACTGTTTGCCATATGCAAACCCACAGAGGCTAGCTACCAGCTGGCTGGGGTCAGCACTGTACATCCTATACCCAGAGCTCGCTATTTCAGTGCTCTGGGGAAAAAGTGGTCTTAATGGGGCATTGAGCTGGTATATGAGAGACATCTTTTGGGGAGAAACCCGAAAGTCTAATGATCAGTCATTTGAGGGAATATTTCAGAGATTTGCCAGGATAATCTTTAGTATAGAAAAAATAATCTGCGCTCTCACATAGATGGGTCATTTAGGTTCCAAATTCTGCTCAGTATAACCCAGTCTTAATTTTAGTCTGGAAAATGTTTAAGGAAGGCATAACTAAACATAGTGGCCATTAAAAAAATTGCCCTCTCCCCCTAATTCCTGAAAAGACCCACAGCAAGTCTAGCTTTGAGTTCTGTGAATTCCTGAGGTACTCCAAGTTAAATTATTGGCAAAATGTACGTTGAGGTATTTGAATGAAGTGACCTTCTGTACAGAGTAATAACCCAACTGAATTTTGGGAATCACCTTGGTGTTTCTAAACTATAAGAGCTTTCTATATACTCAGGATATTAAATTTCGGTCAAATATTCATGGTCTAAAATTTTCCTGATTCTATTTTTTTCTATTTATGTTTTTTGGTATACTGAAGTTTTAAATTTTCGTGTAATGAAAAGTAGCAGTTCTGGCTTTACATTTTAATTTACTCTTAATAAGTTGTTTCCCATCTAGAAATGAGATATTCACCTACATTTGCTAGTCCTTATTTTATGTCATTGAACTCATTAAATGTTTCATGTTTCTTTTGGGATATGCAGTAAAAATGGGATTTATTGCTTCCAACTCCCAAATTAAGCAATCGTCCCAGGACTTTTTAAAGAATATTTCTACCTTCTCCAGTAATGTGAAATAAAAAAATTGTCTTACTCTTAACTTTTATAATAAAGTCTGCTTCTATGTGCCCTATACTATCCCAAAACCTGTAATATTCTTACATGCACTCCAGTGATGTTTGAAACTTAAAAATGTGTCTACATATCAGTTGTACAAGTCCCACGTCTCCCATCACACTATGTAAAACTCTTCTTGGATATTCTTGCTGGTGTAGTACTTCTTAATAGTCTCTATTTAAAATTCTGACATTTTTAGCCAGGCTCGGTGGCTCAGCCTGTAATCCCATGCTTTGGGAAGCTGAGATGAGTGGATTGCCTGAGCCCGTGGGTTCAAGACCCCCCTGGGCAACTTGGCGAGACCTCATCTCTACAATAAATCAAAAAATTAGCCGGGCGTGGTAGCACATGCCTGTAGTTCCAGCTACTTGGAAGGCTGAGGCGGAAGGATCGCTGAAGCCCAGCAGGTCGAGGCTCCCGGCCACTGCACTCCAGTCTGGGCGACAGAGTGAGACTCCGACTCAAAAAAATAAAATAAATAAAATTCTGACATTTTAAAAAGTACTCCAGCCCCGTGTCCTTGTAATGTACAACTCAGGAAGCACTGGATTCCCACCCTCCAGCTCCATGTTTTTCCATCACTCTCTTCTCTCCCATGACAATGTCCTGAGGTGCAGATGAGATCGAAGGAGGCAATCAAGGAAATGGGGAGTTCTTAGTTCCCGTGTGGTCTCAATACTGGAAATGTCACCAGTTTCTCCTGAATGACCTTAGGAAAACACATCTTGCCAATTTAAATACTAGGTATCTTCCAAATCCTACCTGTGTAGTCTTACAGAGGAGGGCATATTCATTCTTCCTCTCAGCTGGACTTTGACCTTATGCCTGAACGAAGAAAACCCAACCAATATTGGCCTAGTTATGAAAAGGCTAGAGTCAAAAATCAAGTACTCACTGAAGAAATACAGAAAATAGAATGAAGAAGTTTAAGTATTAACAACAAAAAAAACCTGCCAGATATAGAATTAGGCTTTATTTTTACTGAATGATGGTATAAATCTTTAATAAAACATACATATGTATAATTTTGAAGATAGTTTAAATTTGAAAATGAAAAAGGGAAGATACACCTAATTATGACATTTTAATCTCTTGATTTGTTTTACCTTAAACTTGAAATAAGAATCTTGATATCCCTTTTTTTTTTCACTAAGATGTAAAATGTCAGACCTTTCATTGTGATGTTCAGAACAATTTTAACTTTGAAATCTTTTAAAGACAAAGGGCATTTTATTTTATTCAGTTTCATATTTCCCCCTAAATTGTTTGTTATTGCTACTTCTGAACATGAATAAATATCTGCATAAAAGTTTTATATTTTAAAGCAATATTCCTCATATACATATACACAAGTTTGTAGACGTTGTTGAATTTGGATTTTTCAATATTGTCATATTTAAGTTTGGCACCATATTGAATGGCAGTTAAATAATGTCCATTTGTCTCCTCACTTATACTATCATTAAGTTAAAACAGATAGTGTCATTAAATTTGCATAAGATTTAAAATAAAAAAAAACTTTTCCAGAATTCAGTCTTCAAGTCCACAATTCTGGGAATACAGTTTGGGCCATCACTACCTTTTCTAGAATCCATTTTTAGCATAAGAAGATGAACCAGAATATACCTGGCCAAATAAGTTTCCCCAAATCACAATTATCCTAAGAATGAACAAATTAAGCCATTAATTTAGGCAATCATATTTGAATGTCTTTGCAGTGAAATAGTCAGGTAAGATGGATTGAATAGCCAACAAAAATTGACCATCTTTCTTTCAGTCTTTGGGATTAAGCTGAAAAGCTCGTTTTCTCTTGAATGATGTGAAGAGTTCAGTCTCTTTCAACAGTCCCACAGTCGCCCCGTGCGATGCCCCTGAGCTTCTGTCACACAGCAGACGACATGTGCTGCATCCAATTCATCAAGCAATGCACAGAGTGTCTGTAGTTCAAGCCATGAAACACATCCGCTTACGGTAGTGATGGCTATACCCAGGTGCATCCTTTTTTAAGGTATCAATGCAAAGTCATTCTTAGGAAATAAAATGGTAAATGAACATAAGCTCCATTTATTGTTAATAATGTTGCACAACATTATTAATTTAGCTGTGGGCTGATTTTTAATGCTTCTGTTGGCTAGCCACAAAAATAGGTTTGGCAACGGAAAGAGGAAGGAGTAAAGTAGAATTCAGCCTAGCCGTGCCTTTTGAAACCAGATGGCAGATTTCAGAACATGATTTCTGTTATGGAAAAATCTGATTTGGGAGACCCTCTGTGGTTTTAATCTCAATTTTACCGTATCTAGATATTCTGTTAAACATCTTATTCTGAAGAATGGTATGAGTGAGTAAAGCAACCAGTCAGAATCTGAGTCAACGCAGAAAAAATATTAAGACATCTGCCATACACACAAGTGCTGCTACTGCGGGAACTTTTGCAACTTATTAAGATTCATTAAGAAAACCACATATAAAATATAATGTAGCCGGGCTCGGTGGCTCAGCCTGTAATCCCGCGCCTTTGGGAGGCTGAGGTGAGTGGATTGCCTGAGCCCGCGGGTTCGAGACCCGCCTGGGCAGCGAGACCTCATCTCTACAATAAATCAAAAAATCAGCCGGGCGTGGTAGCGCGTGCCTGTAATTCCGGCTACTCGGAAGGCTGAGGCGGAAGGATCGCCGGAGCCCAGCAGGTCGAGGCTGCGGTGGCCGGGAGCGGCCACTGCACTCCCGTCTGGGCGACAGAGTGAGACTCCAACTCAAAATAAAATAAAATAAAATAAAATAAAATAAAATAGAATATAATGTATTTTAAGTATAAATCATTATGTTTAATTTATAGTATTATTTTTGTTATTATATATAATTATATATATTTCAAAGTGCTACATATTGAATAAGAACATGTGATGAAGAAACAGGGTTTACCAGTTGAGTTTTAGGCTTGAGTTCAAGGAGGACAGAAAAACTTGTATATTTACCTGGGCATCACTATTGTAGACCTAAGTGCTTCCCAAACACACAGAGCTACTTAGTCATCTCTCTTTTTCAATTGTTTCATCAGGAAGAATCTTTTTTCAAGTGATAAAACTTACAAGCTAAATGAAAATGCACTCTACTCATTGGCAAGCGACATGAGCAAGAATAATGTGGTCACAGGCCTTGGGACTTGTTGATTTATAACTATATTATGCTCTACCTACAATGCTGCAGTCCAGGTGGCAGAGCAATGAATCATTACAATTGTCTATCTGGGAAATGTCAAAAGATTAAGTAAGAGCAGAAGAAGAGAGAAAAGGAAAAACACACATTTCTGTCCAAGAAATATTCCTCAATTAATGGGAATACATCAGTAACACATAAATCCAGTGCTGTAGAAATAATAAACTTTTAAAATCTTCAGGCAAAACGACTAATAAACCACAATGCTTATACTTCCTGAGCGGAAAGAGATTATCCTCAGAAGCTCTGAGAACGAAATTATTCCTTATCCAACCATCACTTACTGATCCACCTCACAAACTAAGAGTTGACAATGCAAATTTAAGTTGAAATGAATCAGAAATTTGAACCAATCATTCATGAATCCAGCTTTTTAAAAAAAGAACACATATAGTTTAATTGATACTTTGCCAATACAAAAATAAGCATCCACAGAACGTTTATTTACTGTTTAAATTACTCCATATTTTCACATACTGTGAACAGAAAATATATTTTACCCCACACATAGTAAAAGCAAACAAGTGCAATCTTTCAAACATTAAAAATCATAATCAAATCTGTACAACAGATAAATAAATGTATACCTCTAACAGTTAGCTTGTAAAAAAACAAAAAAAAACCCCACTTATTGCTCAAAGTCACCAGCTGACTTGACATTCTGTCTATGGCAACACATCTCAGTCACAACAACTTGAATGGTTTCCTACACTGCACACATCTCAATTGATAAATATTTTCTTAAAATAGGAGGTGGGTAACAGGAAATGCCAAAATGGCTATAATAAGAGCTTTCCAAACATTGGAAATGCTATGCAAAAATGAATTCGTGGGGAGAAAATAGGCTAAATGGACCCATAGGGTAACTGTATTACACTGGCATATCTTGAGGAAAGGAGACAGGAGAGCATTTGGATTGAAATGAAAATTTGGCTTTTTAATAAAAAGAAGTGACGACAACATCAATAATAAAAAGATGGAGCCTCACAGAACTCTGTGAGACAGTGTACGAAGATTGAGGCCAGCACACCTGAGAACCACAGCTAGGAAGAACAGCCACTCCAGGAAACACGTAACAGCAGAACAAGAACACACATACATTAAAGGCATACGTGTCATTCCGCATCATTGCACATATGGTAAGGAAACAGCACTGCAGCCACTTCCGAGCAGGGAAGTTGTCTGTAAAGCAGGAAGTTCCATGGTGAGCAGAGGTGCAGACAGGCTTAACACCCACATTTAGCATTATCAAAACACTCAGTGTCACTAGCTAGCTATGTTATCTATACTTTTTACTGGAAAGGTAATCAATCGATCCCTGCCTTCATATGTTAACTTAAAATCAGTCATAAACAAAAACACAGATTCAGTAGAAAGGACTTTCCATGTGCTCTTGTACGATGCATTCTGGTGCGCCTTTTTTTTTTTTAGTATTTCACAATGGTTATGTACATTTCCAATATATACAAGCACACATGGCCAACAGACATCACACAACTGTCCTCTTGCACATGTGTTCATATTTACAGTTACTGGTATATCTCCAGACGGATGCCTGCTCCTCCGGGCAGACACAGCAAAAGCCTGAGAGTGTACATCTTTAGGATTTCAGGAGCCTAATGTCTTGACTGATCTTGAATGGAGGACAAGATGAGGAGTCCACCAAAAAACGCAGCTGTGCATGCCAGCCTCCTGAGGAGAGCTGAGTTATCCTTAGGGATGATGACCTGTGCTAGGTCATTCGTGATCTGAGAAACTTCATGGGCCACACAGACAAAGATGAACGTGCTGACGACGATGTTGAGCACTGGGTTGCCGGGGATGAGGACCAGGACGCCGCGTGTGTCTGCCGCCAGCCATATGTGGTACTGGCAGATAAAGAGCTGGGAGAGAGACAGCCACAGTCAGAGAGGCACAGGAGGCCTTAACAGCCCACAGTTTTTCCTAGTGTAAACATCTGAACCACTGTCTTTGTTTTTCTCTTGGCCCTGAGAAGCACCCTGTGGAATCTACTGCCCGAATCCTTCCTTCTAAGCAGCCCACTCACAAATGAGACTCAAGAAAATAAAAGAACGTTTACTCAAGAACTCAGAGAGAAATTTATTTTCCCTATCTTATGAGACAGTTTAATAAGTCTACACTCTAAAGTATACCTGTTATGATAATAATGTGAATTCTACTGTTTTAAAACATTCCATTTCAAATAATAAAGCTCAGACTACTCAGAATGTATTTCAAACCCTGTTTAAACTGATTTTGTAGATAATTCATATTATGCATCTCATACAAAATTTGATGAATTTAAATTTATCCCCATAATTTCCAATTATAATAAGGGTAAATTTTATTATGGTAACCATCAATAAACTGAATTCCAGTAATATAATATTTAATTATGGAGATGAACAAAAAAAAGCAAAATCCCTCAGCTTGATTTCATTTATATCTGTTCTAATATTTTTCTCTCTTGATCTCAGGATCTTGGTGGTGCTTGAAAGCTTAAGACAATGCTGAGAATATTCTGAAAGTCATTTATGTCAAGTCATTTTAAAATGAGACTTTGAAAACACTCAAATATTTTACTACTACTGAAAGTTCTGAGTCTTTTCCTTATCATTCCACAAATAATATAGCTTTGATTTAGATAAAATGTATGTCAGATTCACACACCCACATAATATATATCTATAGGTACACACACACACACACACACACACACACACACACACACACACACACACACTCACAAATAGAGGCTGTGTCAGATAAAGCAAGAGACTAGTGTACCAACCTCTAAAGAAATTTTTCCAAACCAAGCAAAAAATGAACTGTAAACTGAGCGGGCATGTCCAGGGATGTTCCTTATCAGGATAAAGGCTAAAATCTGAGGAAGAACCACAAAGGCGAATATTAATAACCTCCTTGTTGGAAAGTAAGTTGTATGAAGCTCTCCATTAAATGATAACTTGACTCTTTGTGTTCTTGAACGTGACACATAAACAAACCACATATACAATGATTTTTTAAAACTAGATAAAGCATTAGAAAGTTGTTTTTGTTCTGGAGTCTATCAAACTGGATTTCTTAGCACATGGTCAGGACATTGATCCCTGGGCAGATTGCAGGTAGTCCCAGGCTGAACATGTTTATTTTACACACAGTGGAAGAAATACAAACATGCCTGAGGCCCTCTGTGTGGCAAAAGTTGTTGTCACATTTATGTAACATTCTCAAGACCCCAGGACATAAGTTTGCTACTTTTATAAAGCACCTGCCTGGCTGCCACACCACCTCTGAACCCACCACAGCCACGGCCACAGGGCCACGTGTTGATGCCTTCATGTCTGCCCCAGTAGCATGGCAAAGGACGTCCTGAACAACACTCACACATAATACAAGATCCTGTCTGGATCTTTCTCCCCCAGAAGAATCTACAGCTGCTGAGCTCCTGGCCTTCACCCTTCCCCTCTGGACCAGGGTGAAAACCTTACATTTTCTAAACCTCCAATTCACAGTCTCACATCTGGTAATCAGTTTATCAAGCAGAGAACTCTCCTTGGAATCCATCCTCCTAAAGAGAAAAAAAAGAAAAAACAAAAAACCCCATCCTCCTTATCAAAAAGCAGTAATTATAAAGAAAAAAGTATTTTCACTTTCACAACCACCTTTCAAAACCTTTCTCTTATGAAAGATTTTAAAAAATCTATTCATGCTTCAGAGCAAAGCCCGTATTCGATGTTGACCCCCCTGGGCACTTTATCGAAGGACCTGAGAAGAAGTGTCTAGAACATATAAAAGATGAGGAAACGGGGAGACATGAGGACAACTCTACCCTTGGGCAAAAGAAATCAAAGTGCTCCTCATGGGCATCAGAGAGACTCAAGTCGGCCTCTTCGCATGTATTAGTTCTGGGACTCATGGCAAGGCACTTAACCCTGCGGGTCGGTCTCTTAATTTACAAAGATGCAGACAAACTTTATGAAAGGCTGATGTGACCATTACATGAGAAAGCATGTCTGAGGTACTTCTAGCAGACACTGAGTCATTTAAGGACACATAACAGGTGATTAAGAGTACAGGTGGAGCCGGGCTCGGTGGCTCAGCCTGTAATCCCGCGCCTTTGGGAGGCTGAGGTGAGTGGATTGCCTGAGCCTGTGGGTTCGAGATCCGCCTGGGCAACTTGGCGAGACCTCATCTCTACAATAAATCAAAAATCAGCCGGGCGTGGTAGCGCATGCCTGTAATTCCGGCTACTTGAAAGGCTGAGGCGGAAGGATCGCAGGATCGCCAGAGCCCAGCAGGTCGAGGCTGCGGTGGCCGGGAGTGGCCACTGCACTCCGGTCTGGGCGACAGAGTGAGACTCCAACTCAAAAAAAAAAAAAAAAAAAGAGTACAGGTGGATAAATACACGATAAGGATCACGAAGGTGAGACCTGAATGAAGCCTTGGAACATAAAGCCATTGAGTGAGTTCTGTAGCTCAAGCATTGCATAAGCTATCCAGTGCTGGAAAGAGTAATGCTACACATACACACCCCCAGCCTGAGCTACAAAGAACCTGGGAACAGTCCTAGCAAGTCGCATCCCATTTCTCGGTCTCAATCTACCACTTCCCAATGGGTAGTTCAAGTTTTTAGCATATTCGAGTCTTGTGTTTTGTCATACACTTAATGATCAAAGGAGCAGAAAAACAAAAAGAAACGGTCACCATGGAGAAGACAACTGGACTGAGTAGTTATTCCTATCAGTTATTAGCCTGATACAGAATAATAGCGCTTAAATTTTAATCAGCATTCATAACTTGGTGGGTACTACGCTCAGCATTTTACATACATTATTTATGGTTAATCACCTTAAGGTAAATCAGCTAAGCCCTTTAGGAAATGTCTGTCCACACCAATGGGTAAAACCAAAGGTCAGGATTCGAGGGCTGAGACACCAGCCTTCTACTGGGCCAGGATGGGAACAGGCTTTCTGATGGGACACCAGGAAGCTTGTACACGGTGACAGCTTAAAGGAGCCTCCTCAATGAGAACTCGAAGGATGCATACAAATCATGCAAATGCATGCATAAGACCACGACATCCTGTGAAACACATGCAAAAACCTGTTTGCCTCTGAGAATAAGTGTGAGCTGCAGTGGGGATGAGGATGAAGCTGCAGAGTTTGGAACCCTCGGATGCACCAGACTTTCACAGTGGGGACAAATGCCCTGAAAGCAGCAGCAGCCACTACAATCAGCGCTGGCTGCACCATGTGCCCCCAGGCCATGAAAACACTGAAGCCGCACACAAGAAAGTAGCTCTGGAGATGGGGTCTGTGGAGGCCCATGCTAGGCAGATGCTATGCCCAGGAGCACCTGAGCCAGCAGCATTTCACATATGGTCCCTTCCCCAACTGTCTGTCATTGTCCCGCATTGGGGCGGGTGAGTGGCTCTCCCTCCCATCCTGTGAGTTGTAGAAATGACATTAGATGTGAAATACAGAAAGCTACTGGGAAGGCCTGCTGCTGTCTGAGACATCATGAAAGTGCCACAGAACACAATAAAATGTTTACAACTTCATTATCAGTTTGGAAGGTCTATCACTTGTTTGTTGCATTGGCTATTTAGAGGGTTAAGAGAAATAAGATAGTCCCTGCCCGGAAGAGAACGAAAGGCCCCAGAGAAGGCCCTCCAGCAGCCTCCCTGCTCCCATGTGTCAGGGTGGGCTGATGCTAGCCTAGATGCTACTTCCTGCAAGACCCTGCTCTGGTGTCACGACAGGCTGCAGAGATCCCCACATGCTTGTGAGGTGACACTTATCACAGTGTCCCACGACACCTGGCAGCAGAGATATGGCATCTGGACAACGTGTATCTGGCCCGAGCTGCAGAGATCCCCACATGCTTGTGAGGTGACACTCATCACAGTGTCCTATGACAACTGGCAGCAGAGGTATGGCATCTGGACAACGTGCGTCTGGCTCGGCCCCCTCTTGGTCATCGCCACACACTCTCCATACCATGGCTGGGGCTCCAGCCCCTCCAGCCTCTTCGAGTTCCTTGAGTGTACCAGGCCCCCTTCACAGGCCCAGAGTCCTTGCAGCCAGCAGTGCCTTCACCCAGGGAAATCTACCCTGTCACCCCAGCTAGGTCATGCCCTGACCACCCTGTCACCCCAGCTAGGTCATGCCCTCTTTCTACACTTTTTCACAGCACTGTGCATGTCTGTCTGTAATGATGCGGCTGCTGTAATTACTCTTTATAACAGAAGCGCGTAGACTCCGAGAGGGGGGAGACTTTGTCTGATTTGGTCACTACTGCAGCCTCCAGTATCACATCCAGCACACAGTGAGCACCAAATGCATGTTAAAGAAACAAAAAGTTTTGCTAAATAAGCGAATGAATGTTTCTTGACCCATAATCTCGATTAGACTGTAAATTGATGTGAATTAGGCAGGAGCCGTATCTGTCTTAGCAATGAGCCTCTTACATCCAGCATGGTACTTAGTATGTAGACAATTAATAACTAAGATTAAATTAAAAACTGAATAAACAAATGACAAAAAACAAACATAAAAATAAAAATTAGCCTCCTCTAAGTGCCGATTAAGTGACAAATACCAAGCTAGATTGTTTACACACACTTAATGCAACAACTCTTTGAAAGAGATTTTAACATTTCTACTACTATACAGAAAGTAAAGGCTTAAAAGATTAAGTAACTTCCTTACATTTGCTGGTATGACCTCAAACTTTCGGCCTCTAAAAACTACAATTTTATCAAGAATTAAGAAGTAAAAATTTGGTGGGGCACAGTAGCTCACACCCATAATCCCACTATTTTAGTAGGTCAAAGTGGGAGGACTGCTTGAGGCCAGTAGTTTGAGACCAGCCTGGGCAACATAGTGAGATTCTGTCTCTACAAAAAAAAAGTTGTTTTAAGTAAAAGTTTCTCTAAATCAAGATAATTACCTGTACCACAGAAACAGATGGGTGGAGTTCATTGCACTCTGTTTTGTTTTTACAACTGCTAGCCCAGATGGAATAGGTCTAAAACAGAAAATGTACGGAATCGTTCACAAAAACAGTTACATTTTGAAGAGGCATCATCCCTACAATTTTTTTTACAGTCTTCTTAATTTAGAACATTACGCTGCATTATGCTATATAAAAGATCAGTAAAACCACCCCAGGCCTGCTCATCACTGGCTTTAGTCTGCTCGACTGTCACACACAGGAATGCAGAGAGAGAGGGGCTATGGCCACGCGTTTCTGGAAGCAGCGACCACAAGGCAGTGATGGCTCCTCACATTAAACAGCTTATGTGCTGCTTTTCTTCAAATTTATTACAGCCTTTAAAATTCCTATTGCATTGAGCTCTGTTATTCTTCATATTTAACTTATGCATATAATCTCTTTAGAATTCATGTCCAAGTAGAAAAATAAGAAGCTATCCCTCACATGAAGGATTTACCATTACATATTGTATGCTTGTATCAAAATTTGACATGAACCACATAAATATGCACTAGTATATATCCATTATAATTTAAAAAATCAAAAAAACATGAGCCTTTTAATAGCCAAGAATATGGTCTATCTTGCAAACGTTCTGTGTGCATTTGAAGTGAGCGTGGGCCCTGCTGTGATCTGCTGCCTTGTTCTAACATCACAGCTGGGTCAAGCTAATCAGTAGTGTCCTTGTAGTAGTCCCGCCTGTACTCATTTTTTTCTAGTTATCCCATCAATTACTGGGAGAGAAACACTAAACTTTCTGACTATAAAAAAGAAAAATAAGAAGAAAAAAGAATTTAAAAAGTAAACATTTATTTATTTTTAAAAATTGACTACATTCCTACACCTTAAAGTTAATTTTCTATACCATTTGGGATTTTGAAAAATTAGATTACATTTCAAAACTTACCAAGAAAGAAACTACTGAAACAAACAATAGAAAATTTGAAATTTTGTTGGAAAAAAGAGGTTCACCCTTTCCTTCAGAAAGAACTTGGCGCTTCTGTAAAGCCAGATAAATAAAAGCAAACAGCATTCCATGGAAGACTACCTAAAAAATAAAGAGAGATAACTTGTTTTAAACAGTTACCTTTCAAAAAATAGGAAAAAATATTTGGTTAATGAAAATGAGCAGGTTAAAAGCTTAAACATTTGTTGTTTCTATGAAGGACTTTAAACTTCAGTAGTGAGACTTCAACGAATGAAAAAAGCCAATGATGGTTAGAAACCATCAGCAATTGACAAACATCTCTTGCAACAATATGAGATAAAGCTGGTTCATTTAAAGCCATCTCAGCAACAAGTGAAGAAATAAAAACTATTTAAAACTGATAATGCACTCTCCTAAAGATATATGCTAAAATTTACATATACTCAATGGTCCTTTCAGTCAAATAAAACAAACAGTAGCACCCCTGAGTCATATAAAAAGGAGTATATGATCTTAACAGTGGGAAAAAAATATGGTGGATCAGAAAGCACATGAGCTTTTTACACAAGTCTTTTTAAACAAAGACTTTATGTGAACTATCACTGCAACAGACTGAATGTCTGTGTCCACCCAAAACTCATATGCTGAAACTTAATTCCCAGTTTGATAGTTTTGGAGGTGGAGTCTTTGGTAGGCATTCAGGTCACAGGTGAGGGCCTTCATGAATGGGATTAGTGTCCTTTAAAAAGAGACCTCGGGGAGTTCTCTTGCCCCTTCCATCATGTGAAGACACAGCAAGAAGATGGGTGTCTATGAACAAGGAAATGGGCCCTCGCCAGACACCCAATCTGTTGGTGCCATGACCTTAGACTGCTTGGACTCCAGAACCACGAGAAATAAATTTCTGTTGTTTATAAGCCACTCAGTCTATGGTATTCTGTCGCAGCAGCCCTAACAGACTAAGACAATCATATCATAGTAGACCACTCCAATGAGACTTTAGCAAAAATTTCAATCCATAGACAGTTGAAATGCAATGTAGTACACTGGAAAGCACATAGGTATTGGAAACCGGAATGGCACAGAACAGGCACGAAGAAAACATTTGTTGGAAGAAAAAAAAGAACCAAAGATGAAAAGGGGAAAGAATTGAGTTTTTGACATTTATTTAGTGTCTCTTATTTTCTAAATGTGGTGTTAGATGCTCTAAATTTTTTTGGTCAATTGAATCTTAACCATCCTTCAAGATCAAGTCCATAGAATAAGACAGGACTCTGTTGTTTCCTCTTTGCAAACTTCCACCACAAAATCCATACTGCATAGTTTAGCATCCTATCATCAATAATAATCTTGGATTTTAAGCTAGATTCTTATGAGTCTGATGAGCATATCTTCTTTCTTTCTCTAATACATACAAAGGGAGATCCAAAAAAAATCCAGAATTTATTTATAAGAAACTGTGTATTTCTTACATGTTTAAATTTCAGTCACCTTCAAAGGATTCTCCATTTGATGCAATACACCTATTGAGATGCCTTTTCCATTCCTTAAAACAGTTTCTAAGCTCGTCAATTTTGATGCCTTTTAGTGCTTCTATTGTTTTTTGTTTCACCTCTTCCTCATCAGCAAAATGTTTCTCTTTGAGGACTTTTTCATCCGAGGAAACAAAAAAGTCACTTGGAGTGAGGTTGGGTGAATAGGGAGGGTGGGGAAAGGGGGTCATGACGTCTTTGGTTAAAGATTGCTGAATACTCAGTGTGTGTGGGCAGATGCATTTGTAAATCACCCATCATGACATGGGCAATCTCTAAAAAAAAAAAAAAAAAAATCCACTGAAGCTGAATGCAATCTCTCACAACAACACTAGCTGGTACACAGATGCCAATGGGCTCCCAAAACACTCACCTAGTGGGAGAAGCCTGTACTACAAGAGGCCAGCCCTCCAAAGAGAATTCCAGGATTTTTTGGGTCCCCCCCTCCTATCTCATGACATAAAGTCTAAGGCACATCTGAGCCTTTCTGAATGGCTACAGCACGTAGGAGGGACCACCCATAAAGCAAAAGTATAGGCCAGACAAGGCCTATAGACAACATTTGTTAGGGTATTTCCATCTGATATACATTCACATCATGACCTTTTACTACCATAAAGAAAAAAGGGTGGTGGTGGACTGTTTTGACTTATTAAATCAATATGTTTATTCTACAACTAAATAAAGATAGAAGATTTTCAAATCATTTTCTGGCAGTACAATTTGAAATGGCAAAACAGTAAATACATACGTAACGGTCTAACCTCCATCTGAACCACCATTCATACACATTCCCTTTCAGTTCAAAGCACTTGGACAGTGGCCAAAGGGAAAAGATCTTCTCAAACGCACCCTGAGAAGAGGAATTCAGAAAACAAACTGAGATGGCACAGGTCAATACTTGCTCTACAATTCTATTTAAAAATTGTACTTTTCTAAAGTTAGGACTATTTATTTCATTTGGAAATAATATCACTTCATTTGAAATACATTCCAAAATAAATTTATTTTACCAATGGCCAATAAAAATGACTTAAAGCTTTGTAAATGTATTTTCACTTCACATGAAAGGCTACTGAGAGTACAAAATTAAAACAAAAACCTAGTAATTAGAAAATTATTCTATTTAAGATTTTTAGTCTAGTACACAAAACAGCTAATATTTACCAATCAAATGGAAAATATAAAATACTTCAGCCAATCTGATACTAATATCCTAAAGAATGATTAAGGTCAAAATATGATTACTTTTCTCTATAACCATGTTCTTAATAATCTATAATTACTTATTTAAGTCCTCTGAATTAGTCATCTCACTCAATCAGCCCTACGCAAGTGCCATCACTAGCCTTCGAAACGAAGTTTACGATTTTGCTCTGGTCAAGTCAGTGAATGGCTCCCTCTTATTAATCTAACAACCTGAAACTCTGGGAATGAGGGGGCAGAAGTCTTGGGTACGTTCCTGCACATTAATGAAGTCTTTCAAAGAAGAAAACAAAAATCTCAATTCCCAGACCAAAGAGTGATGGCAAACTCTATTAAGGAATGCTCCTTAGCAGACCTGTGACAGTGTGAAAAGCGTAACATCACAATTGCCAAAGAGGCTATTAAAACCAAGAAAAAAATAAGAAAATTGTATTATATTTTAGGTAATGCTGAATACTTATGTTAGAAGAACCTTATTATTTTAACAAAATGCAAGAGTCTTCATTTAACAACAGAATTTTAAATGCACATAGCATATTAAAAATAGGTTCTAGCTAAATCTTTGTCTCAAAAAATTAAGGATGATGCTCTCTTACCAAAGGTTGCGATCTAAAGTACCTATACAGTATACATATATATCAGCATGCAGATAGATTTGCAACAGATGTATATCTATTACATCTAAATATATGCTCATGCAGGGGTATTGGTATAAGTGTCATATCTATGACATATATAATGTATTTACAATTTAAAATTTTATTTCTAATTCAAAATGTACTTCTTACATAATCAATACACACATATTTATTGAGCACCTGTTGTGAAAGAGCATGGGCTGCAACGACCATGGACTTCTTATTCTTGTCCAGAGGTCAATACTGAACCCAAGGCCAGGGAAGCATCACTAGGCCCTACAGTGAACCTTGCTCTGCTTTCCTTTTCCCTAAGAAGTACCCACAGAGTGTGGGGATTGTCGTAAATACCTGTCAAGAAGTTATGGCTATTACCCAGCTACTTCTTTATACACTTGTCAGTTGTTTCCTTGTTATTTTATTTATCTCCTATAAAAAACCTTGAATATCAGGCAGAAATAGAAATGCTTCTAAGAATAAAAATAAGTATAAAAGCCTACCAAAAAGGTCCCCAAAACAGCGTTACAGGATTATACACACATAGAGACCGCCTAAGGGTGTTTATTGACACCTGACATAGCCAGGCACAAAACACAGGAATGAAGACACAAGTCAAGGGCAGACTGAGTCAAGCTGTGGACATTCAAATGAAGTATTCCTGATGGGAAGAACTCAACCATCAGAACAGAGGGTAGAAGGTTAGAGCTCGGAAAAAATGACCAGAGATTTTATTAAATTACATATACTACATACATGTAAACCCCTCTGCACCTACGTTGGCTTTACTAACTGCCATGATTTTACGCTATGTAGTTCTAGAAAAGTCAAGTAACACACTGATGCAATGAATAATGCACAAAGTTGCAAATTCTGTCAAGAGAATTTTGATCTCCACTTAGTGTCTTAGAAGAGGCATTTAATAAACGTTTGATTGATCAAAGTCAAGTAAAATGGATCTTGAACAATTGTCAGAGGAAGAGCTGTAAATTGCACTTACAACAAAAACAGTGGTAACAAAAGTAGGTATGTCTCAAAAGGCTACACTGAGTAGTCAACCACAGCGTGACACTTTTATTACAGTCATTAAAAACGAAACTAAAAAAACTCTGACTCTTCTCACATACTTTAATAGACTTGAACTTTAAAATATTATAAAATGTAAATGAAAAAGATTGTACAAACCTGAGAATATGCCAAAAAACATATGAATAACAGCAAAAAGGCTAATTTCAATAGTAAGCCCAAATGCCAGAAACAATTTCCTAAGAGAGAAAATATTTAATTTACTAAAAAATATACACTTATATTAGAAGACATGTTAAATAATCTCTATTTAATGCATGTATATCTGAAAAGTTCTTAAAATTATTTAAGGATGTTTACAAGAATATACAAAACATATCTAGATAGTATAAAACACAATTAAGTTTAAAAAAATAGGCAGAGGATTCTTGCTTGGAATGAGGCCACATGGTATAACTGATACTCTTCACACCTGCTGTTCATTCACTATCAATATATTCTAAAATACCTCCTGGACTCAATTACACCTATTCACTATCAACCATCACAACAAAATTTGAACAGTAAGTTCAATGAAATTCTAACAAACATTCATGTGGAATATAACTTAGATAATATTGCTTAAATATTTAAGCTCCAAGGGAAAGCTGAAACTCCCTAATGGACTAGGATTTAACTATAAGATGTATCTTTAAACATGCATATTTTAAATTATGTATTCAAAGTTTATACATACTGATTGTTTATTTGATTAATATGCTGGGTTTACAAAAGGAATTAAACTACAGAGACTGTCCAAAGACAAAAAAAAACTTCAATGGAGGCTGGAGCTCAACTCTTTCCTGAAAAATTATTGAAGTTATATTGGAAGTCAATGGAAAAATATTTTTCTGTTTTTTGAGTTGCTGTCTCTGTCATCCAGGCTGGAATGTCGTGGCACAATCATGGCTCACAGCAGCCTCTACCTCCTGAGCTCAGGTGATCCTTCCTGAGCTCTCGCGTATCCGGGCCTATAGGCATGCACTACCATGCCTGGTAATTTTTTAAATTTTTGTAGAGATAGGTCTCAGTAAGTTCCTAGCCTGGTCTTGAACTCATGGGCTCAAGTAATCCTCCTGCCTCAGCCTCCCAAAGTGCTAAGATTATAGACGTGAACTTCACGCCTGGCCAGAAAAATATTTTTAGTATACAATATTTGTTTGAAAGAGTCAAATTAAATATATATTTTTAAGCCGGGCTTGGTGGCTCAGCCTGTAATCCCGCGCCTTTGGGAGGCTGAGGTGAGTGGATTGCCTGAGCCCGCGGGGTCGAGACCT